AGAGGCGGCGCGGATGTTTGATGAGGATGGTGCAGCAGGCATTGTATGGAAGAGGAAGGGCAAGGGCAAAGCAATTTTGCTAGAGTCTGACAGTGAGGAGGATGAGCAAGGATGCAGCAGTGGCAGTGAGTCTGAGTAGGGTAGGGTTAATGCTAGTTGGTTTTGTAGCAGTATTGGTTGGATTGGAAGCTCTACTGAGCTTGTAGGATGATAGCAACAAGCCAAACTCATTGGTAGAGTTAGGAGGAGTAGCTGTTGTAGGAAGTATGTTGGCTACATTAACTGTGGCTCGTAGGATGTTACTGCTGTGCTGTCCTAGGAATCTTATTACAAGTAGTGCTGTCTGGAACCCATCTAATATTTTATGTGCTTAAGTCAAAGCCTAAAGGATGAGCTGCTTGATTTTCAGGAGGCAAATTTTATCTGCAAACACAGATCAGGCTGTAAAATTCGTCAGAAATTTTAGACCGAGCCAAACACCTCATATGACGGTCACACAAAACTTTCTTACCCCGTCTGATTCTCAGACTGCCCTAAAAGTAAGCAAGAACCTTGCTAACCACCAAAGATCGCCCAACCTCCCAAGATCGCCCAAGCACTCAAGATCGCCCAAGCACCCAAGATCGCCCAAGCACCCAAGATCGCCCAACTGCCCAAGATCGCCCAACCGCCCAAGATCGCCCAACCACCCAGGATCGCCCAATCACCGAAGATTGCCCAAGTTCGCAAGATTGCCCAACCACCCAAGATCGTCCAAGCACCCAAGGTCGCCCAACTTCCCAAGACCGCCCAACCACCCAAGATCGCCCAAGCTCCCAAGATCGCCCAAGCACCCAAGATCGGCCGACCAACAAAGATCGCCTAAGAACCCAAGATCGCCCAAGAACCCAAGATCGCCCAAGCACCCAAGATCGCCCAACCACCCAAGATCGCCCCAACACCCAAGATCGCCCAACCACGCAACATCGCCCAAGCACCCAAGATCGCCCAATCCCCCAAGAGCGCCCAAGCTCGCAAGATCGCCCAACCACCCATGATCGCCCAACCACCCAAGATCGTCCAAGCACCTAAGGTCGCCCAACCACCCAAGACCGCCCAACCACCCCAGATCATCCAAGCACCCAAGATCGCCCAAGCGCACAAGATTGCCCAACCACCCCAAGACCGCCCAGCCACCCAAGATCGCCCAGCAACCCAAGATCGCCCAAGCACCCAAGATCACCCAACCACCAAAGATCGCCCAGCCACCCAAGATCGCCCAACCACGCAAGATCGCCCAAGCACCCAAGATCGTTCAAGCACCCAAGATCGCCCAATAACCCAAGATCGCCCAAGCTCGCAAGATCGCCCAAGCTCGCAAGATCGCCCAACCACCCAAGATCGCCCAACAGCCCAAGATTGCCCAAACCCCCAAGATCGCCCAACCACCCAAGATCGCCAAAGCACCCAAGATGGCCCAAGTACCCAAGATCGCCCAAGCTCCCAAGATCGCCCAAGCTCCCAAGATCGCCCAACCTCCCAAGATCGCCCAACCTCCCAAGATCACCCAACCTCCCAAGATCGCCCAAGCACCCAAGATCGCCCAAGCACCCAAGATCGCCCAACCAACGAAGATCGCCCAAGAACCCAAGATCGCCCAACCACCCAAGATCGCCCAAGAACCCAAGATCGCCCAAGCACCCAAGATCGCCCAAGCACCCAAGATCACCCAACCACCCAAGATCGCCCAACCACCCAAGATCGCCCAACCACTCAAGATCGCCCAAGCACCCAACTAAGATCACCCAACGACCCAAGATCGCCCAACCATTCAAGATCACCCGACCATTCAAGATCGCCCAACCACCCAAGATCGCCGAACCACCCAAGATCGTCCAAGCACCCAAGACCGCCCAACCACCCAAGATCGTCCAAGCACCCAAGATCGCCCAAGCATACAAGATCGCCCAACCACCCAAGATCGCCCAGCCAACCAAGATCGCCGAGCCACCCAGGATGGCCCAAGCACCCAAGATCGCCCAACCACCCAAGATCGCCCAACCACCCAAGATCGCCCAACCACGCAAGATTGCCCAAGCACCCAAGATCGCCCAAGCACCCAAGATCGCCCAACCACCCAAGATCGCCCAACAACCCAAGATCGCCCAACCACCCAATTTCGCCCAAGCACCCAAGATCGCCCAAGCACCCAAGATCGCCCAACCACCGAAGATTGCACAACCACCCAAGGTCGCCCAACCACCCAAGGTCGCCCAACCACCCAGCGCTGATTTTGGCTAAGGGCCAATCACCACCCTCACACAGCCTCATGCATCGAGTGTTGTTTTTGTCCAAGGGCCAGTCAGCGTCCTCACACAGCCCCCAGCACGCATCGAGCACTGATTTTGGCCAAGGGCCATTCAGCGCCCTTACACAGCCCCTAGTCCGGATGACACGAGCCCCCAATGCACCTCAAGTGTCAGTGCTCTGATTCGTGGTTCAGGGTAGCTGCCTTGCTACTCTGATTCATCAGGGCAGAGGGTCGCGAGCCCTGATTTCGAAAGGGTAAAACAATTGCTACACTTTCTGAATCAGGGTTTCAAAATCTCAAACCTTGGAAGATTTGCCTAACAAAAAAAAAACCCTAAAAATCAGAGTAATCAAGGATTTTACCTGGATAAGTTTTGCCCTGTTCCCACCCCGCCAGCTACGCTACGCCATAAGGTAAATTCTGCTACGATTGATTCCTTTGGGAGGGGCACGAATCGTCTTCTTCGTTGCACCGCCTTGATGAAATCCTTCACATGTTTCGAATGTGCCTTGACCGTGTTCGGAATGCACATACGTACCCGATTGTGCAGTTTGCACTTTCTGTGCATAGATTTGGTTCATACTTTTGATCATTTTAAAAGAACTAACACGCTCTGAGTCTTCCACTGACTCTCACTTTAAACTCTACTGATTTCCATAGAGTCTAGGCCCTGGGTAATTCCCCATACCGGGAATATTTTGGAGGCCAACCCTGATGGATCAGGATTCCTGCAATCATATATGAGGCCCTGTATGACAGCAGCTAACAACTGTGCTCAAAGGGCTTGTTAAGTAGCGGGTCAGCGCGCCCATAGCCTCCCAGGCATACAGTAGAGGCTTGTGGCCCTTCTGAGGATCTCTAGGTCAACCTCGGTTTGTCACTCAACACCCTCCCGCACTGGGGTAGGCGGAGGACCTAGTCAGCCAATTATGGCACACAACGGGAATTGAACCCTAGGCCGCTCTGATACCATGTCACGGCCACTAACCACTGTGCTAAAAGGACTTGTTAAGCAGCAGATCAGCGCACCCATAGCCCCCGGGCATAGAGGTCTGGCGCCCTTCTGAGGATCTCTAGGTCAACCCCAGTGTATCACTCGACACTCTGCTCTTCAGTATCAGAGAAAAATACGCGCTATCTGAATTCTCAGACGAAACTCCACACCAAGCCTAGAAGTTCATATAAAATTTTATAACAAATAATGCGCATTCACACATATTATTTTGGCCCTTCCAAAAATCAGATGAACAACAAAAAACGAGTCTAATTATTATACCAACAGATGGATTTTATTGTGAAAGTAACGCATAATAGATGACTAAGGGAAAATGTTGAGAGAGTACAACAGTGGGTATTGTACCCTCGAAGAACTGACCTAACTAGGCTATAATAAATATAACCTAACTAACATAAATATAACTCACATCCATTAGGTTCCTCGCAAACGAGGGTATGTGCAGACCGGTGAGGGAGCCTGAGGGGACAATTGGACAGGGGAGAGTGGTGGTGCTGCATGCGACAACTATGGCGGAGGAGTTTGCTAGTGCGACGCAGACTGGTGCAGGAAGCGAGGTCAGAGCAGTACTATCTCTAAATAAGCAAAGAGACACGCTAGAGTGTAGGATAAGGGAGAGGGCCGACGTTGCGGTGCCCAGTGAAGGATCTATAACAGTGCCTACACCTGAGGCAATAGGGAAGTCTAGGCCTGGCATAGCAGGGGATCCTAGAATACACACACTAGTGGCTCCTAGACTACAAAAAGCAGGATAATAAGAACCAGCAGCACTAGAGTCATGAACGTACAGAGAATACAATGTCTAATCTATCTGAATCATGCCCATATCAAAGATAGGAACCCCATGACAAGGCCCCACCAGGTTACGGCCAGTACGGAGCTCCCAGCGCAACAGGCCTGTTCGGCCCGCCTCCCACCGCCACACCTGGTGGTAGCGGCTACACAGACCGGTGTTTATCGTCCCGCTCCCCCACCTTCTCGCACTTCCTCTCCGCCAATCCCCTCCCGGACTTCTGCCGCGCGCCTCCGCCCTCCGCCTCGCTCCTGTACCACGACTTGCTCGCTATGCCGGGGGGGGGGGAGTAGGGGGAGCCCCATCACAATCGCGTGCGGGTCCCCCGCGCAAAGCACCGCAGCCGCTGCCGCGCTCTGGCAGACTTCCTCCGGCGCAGGCTCGCCCTCCGAACCTCCCCCCCCGTCGTTCCTCACCCTGGCGGACCAGTTTCACCAGTCCCCCTCCGCCGCCCTCGCCGCTACTCCGCTGCGACCTGTTCCACTGAACACCCCCTGTCCACTTAAAACCCCCGCTACAGGAAGCCCCGGTGGAGGAGGTACAGGGTTTTATGAAGGTCACTGCGGGCCTCCGCAGGTTATGAACGGGTTAGCGGGGCCATCTTATACTGCGCATACTCCCATTTCGGGGAGGTTTGGTTCCCTCGAGCTGCAGCAGCAGCGGCAGCAGGGGTTTCATGTTAACGGGATGGGGGTGGAGGACGGTTTCACAGGAGGTGGGGGGAGTGCGCAAGGCTTGCAGGCGAAACAAGGATGGGGGAGAGGGGAGCAGGGTAGGGGAGTGGCGCAGGGGCAGGCACAGCAGGCGGCGCAGAAGCAGGCGGGGACGAGCGCGTGGAGCAAGGGGCAGGAGCAGGGCAGGAAGGGCGTGGCGGCGCAAGATGCGCAGAGGGGCGCAGATATCACCAAGGCTGGCGGAACGTGGGTCACCGTGTACGGGTGCATACAGAATGTCTGGTTTTTGGTGAATGCAGGCATCCTGGTTGACACAATGCTGTGGATAAAGTATGCTTCTGCTAAGCTATGGACGCCCGCTTCCCGTCAGCCCTTCCCCCCCATTTTAATACTAGGCGAGCCACTCTGTTGCCCCTCTCCCTCTTTTTCTCTCTTTCTCTCCTTCTGCCCCTCCTCTCCCCCTCTCTCTCTAGTGGTCCTTCGTTCTAGATAGAACCTGAATACATACTACAGCTACGAAAGTACCACCAATAAGAGCTCCAATTCGGTCTACAGAACTGCCAAACATGTCTCCCATCCCCATATCTCTTTGTCTCCCTCTCCCCCTCCATCTCTCCCCCTCTCCCTTCCTCTCGCCCTCCCCCCCTCCCACCAGGTTCCTGCCCGAGGAGCTGCCAGGGGTGATGCGTGAGATGGAGGGGTGCGGCCGAGTGGTGGAGCACGTGCCATGCCCGGGCCGTGGCAACTGGGTGCACCTCAGATACCAGGTCACCTAGGGGGAGGGGAGACGTGGGAGCTCACTTGGGAGGGGTTGTTGGGGGGATGTTGAGGGGGCTGTTGAGGGGGCTGTTGAGGGGGCTGTTGAGGGGGCTGTTGAGGGGGCTGCTGAGGGGGCTGTTGAGGGGGCTATTGAGGGGGCTGTTGGGGTGATTCGAGGGGGAGTATTGGAGCGTGCGTATGTGCATCAGAGCTTAGGTTGCCCTAAGTGCGTCCTCACGTTCCTACACTTTTCATCTCTATCTCTAGCTCTACTTCGCTCTGATTCGCATCTCTTCCCACCTCTCAACCCCCATCTCTTCCCCACCATGACCTCCTCTTTGCCCTGTCCCCTCTCCTCCCCCCCTTCCCCCCTCTCGCTCCGCCCTCTCTCTCTTGACACCGTTGTCAGACAGCAGCAGAGGCACAGAGGGCGCTGGGGTGGTCGGGGCAACAGCTGTCTGCAGGCACCATTTTTGGCGTGAAGCCCAGGACCCCCCCTCCAACAGGTGAGACGTGCTCCAGGGTATCACCTGCCTTATCATCTGCAAGATGGCTTCTCGTAGGTGTTGGTAATGGAGTGACTTATGCAGTAGGATTTGAGTTGGATATGCAGAGGAGAAGGGGGGCGGCATTAGGGATGGTGCATGCGAATACGGATCATGGGGCCTGTAAACCAAGCTGCAGCATAACGTTTTAGAGTAGTACGTGGATTCTCTTGCCCAATCTCCTCTATGCTTGTCATCTGCACTCTGTTGCACCTTGCTAACTCCTCCCAATGCATGTGTCTGCCTCCTTCCAACCACCCCCCCCCCACCCATCCAGTACAAGCTCTCCCACATCAGCACGCGCCCCTCCCCCTGGCACCTCTTCCGCCGTCCTCTTTTCCACCCGGCCTCCTGCGACTGCTTTCGGAGCTCCCTCTCAGCCTCGCTCAAGTACATTTCAAGCGGGGTTTGGTGCGGCCTCCACCCAACCGCCTTCAGCTGTTCACCGTGCTTCTGCTGCGTCTGGTGCCAACCCTTCTGGGGTTGCTCCTGCAGCTGCGCCTGCTGTCTCTGCCTGGCAGGGAAGCAGTGGTGTGTTTTCTGCCACACCTGCTCCCGCAAGGGGCCGCTATCAGCCAAGTATGGATGGGCATGCTGGTGCGGCTCCTATTGCATCTGCTAATCAGTCTGTTGAAAGTACATCAAAAGACTTAAGCGTTTCTGAAGTGTAACACTACACTCGAGGAAGATTGCAAGGGGTACGCGAGTCAACGGAGGTTACACGAGGGGGCGGACAAAGAACACGAAGGGTCTGGGACTCAAAGGGTCGCAACTGGAGGTTGCGACTGACCGTTACAGCATCACGGATGGTAACCGAAGCGGCAATCGAGTCGCTATGCGACTCGATAAACCGTTCCTGTAACTGTACTCTGCAACTGCTTTCTTATCTTCTATATATTGCTGTATGCTTGTTTCTTTAATCAATCACTTGTTCTCACATACTAGTACAAGGGTTCAACTGTCTCAACTTCCGCTGCACTACTCCAAGTCTCAAGTCTTTACAGCTGGGACTTAGTCTCTGCAAAAGATCCTAAAGGGTTTTTCTCAGCCCAACATGGTATGAGAGCTGGTCAGAGACCAAACTCCCAGCAACTACGTCCTATCAACAACCTGCAACTCAACTCAATTCAACGACTTCATTGATTACAAGACATGGACAACAAGGGCAAGAAAGTCTCTACGGGCTCACCCAGCGCCCAAGAAACTCAACACGGCAACTCTGGTCTGCACACCTCAGGACTGCAGACAGAGACCGGGACTGCTCAAGAAACAACGGGAAGAGTACCAGAGATGGTGACCCCGTCTCCCTCTTCAAGTGTGGACCCGAATCTCATGGAGAGATTCTTCAGCTTCATGTCACACTTCGATCAGCAGCAGCAGACAAGGACACCTGCGCACTCAACACAGAGCAATGGAGGGAATATGGGATTAGCGCCGATGAGCCTCGACAACTCATCCTTCGGGCGACACAATCAAGCGCCTACCTTTGCGCCTTATCATTCTTCGCCGGGGACGTTCGAATTCATGCCGCCCCGTGCCCAGCCAACAGCAGCTGCTTCACAACAAACACCGAATGAAATCTTAAGTTTACAGGCGCAGTTCTCACACGTGATCAAACTTCAGACATCCTCACCGTTCAACGGACACGACTTCTTTACCTGGAGCTTCGAGTTCGAGCTGCTGATGGAGGCCGCGCATCTTCTGGGATACTTCAACGGGTCCCTGCCATTCCCAAGCAACGGCACTGGGAAGGAACAAGAGATCTTCACGTATCAGTCGCTGCTGGCGTACACGGTACTCCTGAGAAACCTGTCACCACAAGAGCAGCAGAGCATCAGAACGTATCGGAGTTATGGAAACTCCGCGGAGCTCGCATGGCACCACCTCAAATGCCTTTACCAAGCAAACGACAGCGTGACACAAAGCAGACTCATGCAACAGCTGACAACAATACAGATGAAGACCGGGGAAAAGGCGATGCAGTATATGAGTCGCTGCCAGACCCTCCGCGACCGCCTGCTTCGGTGCGGAGGAACGATCACTGAAGAAAGCTTCGTGACACTTGTCCTCGCCGGGCTCGGGCCAGAATGGAGAACCACACGATCACTTCTTCGAGCCCACGGAAGAATTTCGGAGATGCACCTCTGCGCCGAGCTTCACGCTGAACAACAGGAGATGGATCTGTTCGAGGAAAGACAACCAAGGAAGCAACAGCGGTTAGTCTTCTACACTCAAAGAAGAAATGACAACAACTACAACCGACGCAGCAAGCAAGATCAACGCGACAACCGAGGACTCACCATCGTGCCGCCGTTCTGCCACAACTGTCAGACTTCCGGGCACTCCAAGGTCAACTGCAACCGCCCTCGCGTTTACCGTGCAGCAGACCCACAAGTCGCTTCCACTCAAGCAAGTCCTCCAAGGCGCTCTTCAACATCTGCACAACAAACACCCAACATCATCAACTGCATGGTACACATCGACAACTGCGCACCCGCTTCACCACCCACTTACGCACCAGACGAAGAGGAATTCCCGCCGCCGCGCTCGCAAGGACTTCAGGTCAACCCGACATACGCTGCAGTCGCTAACGCCGAACCCACCGGGCGGAACACCTGGTTCTTGGACAGTTGCTGCGGTCAGCACATGTGCTCCTCGGGACGCTTCGTGCAACAGGAGAAACGACTCAACCGCGACGTCGTCATCACAGTCGCCAACAACGAAAACCTGAAGACAAACAGACAAGGCGTGGTTCAGCTACAATCCATGGAAACAAACGTAATACTGCAGCTCAACAAAGTGCTCATTGTCGACAACCTGGGATACAATCTACTGAGCGTAAGCCAACTAATGGCCAAAGGGATTCACCTGGAGTGCGACTCTTACTCCAACGAGTTCCGGCTTTACCACGGGAAGGGCGGCCTCTTCATCGGTCGTGCCCTCTTGAAGTCCGGCGTCTTCGTGTTGGACTTCGTCCCCGACCGCGGCACTGCCGACAGCGACGGTATCGTATCGTTCGCCGCCTGGACTCACCCGCCGGATCTTGATCCCGACTTCGACAGTGACGGCTTCTGGCACTCCAACACCATACCTGCAGCAGAGAGAACACGAGCATTAGCAGTTATCAGACAAGAAAGACAAGTACCCGCAAGTGTCCCAACAAAACCATCACCTGCAGTATCGGCAGCAGGACCCAGCCGAGTACCACCACCATCAACACGAGGACCGCCAACGGAAGCAGACCAACTTATGCCCGCCACACGAGAAGCTTGTCGAAGTCCCGCCTCGGTCGTCGCGTTCTTCTCCAACGCCGACATCTACCACCGCTCGCCCGGTCACCGTGCTCCCGACGACATCTGGCACCAACGCCTCGGACACCCTGCAAACAGCACAATACTTCAAACAATCCAAGCAGAGGTGTTAGAACGCAACGCCCTTCTGACGACGAGCGGTCAAGAACTTCGACGACCACGCGCACGGTGCTTCACATGCCCCGAAGCAGATCTTCCTCATCAACCTTTTTCATCCCATCACAACCCAAGCGCACCTACTTACGCTCCGATGGAAAAAGTCTACAGCGATATTTTAAACATGCCTCGAGACGACGCAGAAGCCGACTTTAACTACGTCATCACTTTCATCGACGCCGCAACCAGATATGTCTGGCACTTCAATCTCAAAACGCGCGACCAAGCCTTCGAAGCCTTCACAACATGGCTCCCCATCGCCGAACGAGAATCAGGACTCAAACTCAAGAGCTTCCAGTCAGACGGTGCACTGGAATACCAGTCACAACGCTTCAGGACCTATCTGGCGGAAAGGGGAATCAGACGCCTGGTGTCCCTGCCCTATGCTCACCAACAGCAGGGGGTAGCAGAACGCATGAATCGGACCTTGCAGACGACGCTGCGAAAACTGCTTCAGGGGATGCGACTGCCAACCACACTGTGGCCAGACGCGATGACACATGCTGTTCACCTGCACAACCTGCTGTCCTCGTCATCACTTCCCAACAACGCATCACCGCACCTGCTGTGGACAAGAAAAAGGGGCAGCACAAAATTACTCAGAGTCTTTGGCTGCATGGTACAGTACAGACCCCACACAGCCCGAGCAGGACGCTTCACACAACGAGCTCGGTGGGGACTCCACCTCGGCATCGCGAAACATTTTCACGCGTGGAAAATTCTCGACATACAAGACAAAAACACGGTGGCATCACGAGACGTTATCTTCTACGAACGACTGACTCTGCAGCATTACCTGGACAACCTTGCCAACACACAAGACCCCACCGACGGCCTCTCGGGACTTCGTTCCTTTGCCGATCGTGCTGCCGAAGCTGACGCAGCAGAAGAAGACGTACCTGGAGCCTCGGAAGCTGCCGGGCCACTCCCATTCTGTTCCGTACCTGTTCCACTCGATGAAGATAATCCCCTCGATAGCAACAACCTCGACACCTTTTACCACTTCGCCGACCAAGGTTACGCTACACCTCACCCCGTCGACTCGAATATTTCGGAACGCATCGGCCCCAATTCCTTACCTGACCCCGAAGACGGTGACGAAGCAGCTTATTCCGGGAATGACAATTCCCCTCGACACACACCAACGGGACTCCAGATTCTAGGCCTCTGGGTCTCCGTCCAGCATCCGCCGCCGCCTTCTGCGCGTGAGCCTTCAACCTTGTCGCAGGCTCTGGGGGGGGAACATAAGGTAAAATGGAAGGAAGCAATGGAAAAGGAGTTAAAAGCTCTGCAAGACCGAGAAACATGGAAACTGGTACCTGCAACGAGCATCAACGGGAAGAACGTTCTCTCGGGGAAATGGGTGTACCGCATCAAGACCAACTCAGACGGCTCCATCGAACGATTCAAAGCTCGATGGGTCGTACGAGGCTTCGATCAACGATACGGAACCGACTACACAGAAACCTTCGCTCCAGTCTCCCGTCACACCTCATTACGCATCCTACTCGCCGTCGCGGCCACGAAAACACTACCACTACGCCAAATCGATGTCGCGAATGCGTTCCTATACGCACCTGTGGACGCTGAGATCTTCGTCGAACAACCCCACGGATTCATCGACGACCCCACGAAAATATGCCGACTGACAAAATCCCTATACGGGATCAAGCAAGCCCCGCGGCTCTGGCAGCAGCATCTTCACAGCCGTCTCGTAAAAATCGGCTTCCTACAGCTACCACATGACCAAGGCATGTACCGACTGCAGAAGGGAAGAGATTACATTCTGCTCATCGTCTACGTCGACGACCTGCTCTACATCGGTTCTACCACCGACATCGTCACCCGGTTCGAAGGGGAACTGAAAGGGGACCTGACGCTCACAGTGTCCGACTCAGTGACCCAGTACTTGGGGCTAAATATCGTCGAAGACAACTCGGCGTTCTACCTACACGCTGGAAAGTACGCAGGCACTGTCGCGAAGAAATTCGGACTAACACCGGCTACCGCCTCAACTCCCTACCGCTACGGAAACAACAACAGCGCCTCCGCAAAACTCCCCGCGAAGCAAATCCAGGAGTATCAACAGAAGCTCGGCTGCCTACTATTTGCAGCAGTAACCTGCCGACCCGACCTGTCCTATAGTGCAAGTCAACTGGCGACGCATCTGAAGCAACCGGAACAGGAGGATCTCGAGGAGCTCAACCGGGCACTACTCTACTTCATCTCCACGCCGACGATCGGACTTACCTACAGCAAAGCTACAACATCGTCCGTACAACTACTCGGATACGTCGACGCCGACCACGCGGGAGATAGGGAAAATCGACGATCTAGGACGGGCTACATCTACCGACTAGAACCCATCGGAACTATCTCCTGGCAGTCGAGCAAGCAGGAGTTAATCGCACTATCCTCTGCTGAAGCAGAGTACATCGCCCTTTGTACCGCGACCAAGGAAGGACTCTACCTGCGAGAGTTACTCGAGGAAGCGAAGATCGCGACCCTGCCCGCCTTCTCACTCTTCTGCGACAACCAATCTGCGATCAAAATCGCAAACAAGGACGGCTTCGCCAACCGAACCAAGCACATCGCCCTGCGGTACTTCTTCGTCAAGGATGAAATCGCGAAGGGGAGACTTCAACTCAGTTACTGCCCGACGACAGAAATGGCCGCAGACTATTTGACGAAGAAATTGGCGAAGGCAAAATTCGACTACTGCATGGTGCTGACCGGACAAACAAACGTCATCGGACCTGAACAAGTCAGCACTCCAGAAACGAAGGGGAGTGTTGAAAGTACATCAAAAGACTTAAGCGTTTCTGAAGTGTAACACTACACTCGAGGAAGATTGCAAGGGGTACGCGAGTCAACGGAGGTTACACGAGGGGGCGGACAAAGAACACGAAGGGTCTGGGACTCAAAGGGTCGCAACTGGAGGTTGCGACTGACCGTTACAGCATCACGGATGGTAACCGAAGCGGCAATCGAGTCGCTATGCGACTCGATAAACCGTTCCTGTAACTGTACTCTGCAACTGCTTTCTTATCTTCTATATATTGCTGTATGCTTGTTTCTTTAATCAATCACTTGTTCTCACATACTAGTACAAGGGTTCAACTGTCTCAACTTCCGCTGCACTACTCCAAGTCTCAAGTCTTTACAGCTGGGACTTAGTCTCTGCAAAAGATCCTAAAGGGTTTTTCTCAGCCCAACACAGTCTGTGTGGCAGAGGGTGGTTGACCTGGTGTATGGGCTCTGATTTGCGTTTTGTTTGGAGTGTCATTTGCACAGGTGCATTGGTGATTTCAGTGGTTTGCAGGGGCTTCTTGGTTGGCTGGCAAACATTCCTGGGTCTCCAATCTGTCTGGTGACTAGGTCCTTTGCGATACACCCTCCTCTACCCTTTTTTGTTTTACGGTAAAAGCAGCAGGCTTACATAAAAACACCTGGTACTCATATGGCTAGAGTGAATCAGCAGTAGAATGCGTGGAGCTACACTCTCCTACAGATCAGGAGACTACCACCCATGAGTAACCTTCGTATAAAACCTATGGTGTACACAACTCCCTTTTAATCTCTTACCGTATCTCTATTCCTAGGTGCATTCAGGACATATGAAATGGCTGATGCTGTGAACTCTCTCTAAAGGAAGTCTCACGCACTCTGGATGGAACCTGCACGGCCAGATAGAATCAGCAGTTAGTCACGCAATGAGTGTTCAGTAAAGGATGGGCGAACAGCTCGGTTACTGTTTGCTTACCAGTCCCTACACTTCTCGCACTGGATCATGAGCTCGTCAGGGTTGTAAGGCATCTCGCACGTGCAGTACCTGCGACACCACGGAGAAAACAAGTCGTTTGGCTTCACCTGGAGGTCCCGCTCTTCCAACCATACAGAAGTGCGTTAAGCAGATTATTACCGTCTAATCATCTAAGGGGGACTCACACGGCGACGCGGTCTGGCATGAAGGTGCCTATGGCTGCTTTGTACTCAAATCGGCAGAAGAAATCCTCGTCTTCCACTGTGGCTAGGGTTGTGTACTCTGCAAAAGTATGAACCCTGCATATGCTCTCCACGGCCTCTGGATGACACCTATCGCAATGGTCGGACAAGAATAGCTCCTTGGAGCCATGGAATTGTCGTCTACCACCAAGAGAATCCTCAGGACGGTAGTACCAGCGACAAAGCACGGTGACACGATTAGAGGAATCTGCTTCTATCTTTTCAATTCGAGCAATATACGGAGGCGTGTTGCGATCCGGTGCGCGTAGCAAAACGCATACGCCAGCTGTTTGGGAAGGAACAAAACCGGAATAGGTCAGCTCAGGAGGTTCTGTCTGGCACAATACTAATTTCTAGAAAAGAAGAACAATAAAATACGTAATATCAATTACGTGTTAGTGTCTCCCCGTTGGCTTGATAAGATTCCAGCTGACGCTTAGCCCTCTTCCTCGCCATACGCGGCGAACGGCGATCCTGAGCTTGCTGATGCGGTGCATGTTAGAAGTGATGGACCGAAACTGCGATAAAAGAAGCTCGACCTTTATGATGCCTCTCACGAACTAGCTTCTTGTCTTGCTGCTGTCTCACGAACACATCAGCAGGTGTGCTGAAGGCGACAATGAAAAAAGGACTCTCAGGGTTTGGTTGGTAACGCGAGCACGACTTCCACGTGGTGTAGAGCAATCAGCAAACAAAACAAGGAACTTCGAGTTCTCTTTTCATTTGGATGCGCAAAAGGCCGAGGCCTCGTAAATAAATGGGTGTACCTGTATTATGTCGAAGTTCCCCTTTGACAATTTCTGGCCCCGCGGTGCACATTGCCGGAAATGTAGAGAGATGAACAGTAGCAGTTGGGAAAGGTCGCGTTGATTGGGTGACGAGTTCTGGCGAACGGGCGGCTAACCTTAGTTTCGTATCCGCGTCAGTTTCGTCCCACCCGAGATCCCGCAAACATTTGTACACTTAAACCGCGGTAGTTTTACACCCTGAAAATGGATAGCAAGCTTTTGGCGTATCCTGAAGGTGTGAAATTACAGGGGCGCGAAACACCCCAGTATCTTCACAGGGGTAATCCGCCGAACCGAAAAAGGTGCCACGCTGTCGCAAACCGAGCCCGACATAGCTAAATCACCCGACCGAGGCTCCCCTAGTCGAAATATTGTGTTGCCTTTGTATTGTGATTGCATATCGCGCGAGGAATTCCTCTACGGGAATCTGTAAACACATTCAGTATCGTGTCTCAATTTCAGAGTGTTGGATTCCTCTTCAATGTGCTGCTCTTCTGCTGTGCGGTCTGGTCCCTCAATTTCGTACGTTCATTGGGTGTATTTTGCTCGAGCCAATTAGAAAAGGATGCTGCCGATTTCATTTTGAGTTGGTCAGCTCCGATGTGGCAGCTCTACAGTACTGTCGGTAATTCCAGAAGCGAGTTCCGAGCCTATTGAGGTGGCTCTTTCTCGCACGGGCGTTGGGCCGCCCATTTCAGTGCGCCCCGAACTGTTGAAGCTTGACCGCGCCACTACGCGACATATGGTATGAAAATACTAGGTGTGAAATTACCGCGGGTTAGGTGTACATAGGGGGAGGGGGAAATGCGAGACCCCGAAGGGTGGGAGGGGGAAACAAAACTGCATTGGGAAATCGGAGCACTGTACGGGGGATAAACAGGGGGCGGGCGGGGGAACGTCTGCATTTTGGGGCGAACGAAAATGAAATAGTGGGGCGGGGAAACGAGTGACGGGGAGAAACGAAACCGCGAGACGGGGGAGGAAAGGAAGTTTCGGTGTGGGAGTACACACGGGCCCCGATAAGGAAATAAGGGATTTGTACAGATCCCACGTTTGGGAAATGTTTAAAGCCCAGGTCCCAAGTTACAAGGTCCCAACAAATCTGGAACGCATTTGGATGGTTACCCCATGCACTTTGTGAATAGTGAGCAATGCAGAGCCGAATAGAAAATGGTGACTTTTGATCGGGGGATGTGGCAAAACATGTTTCGCGTACTAGCGCAAACTCCAACCAAGGCAGGGAAAATGGCTAAGGGAAAATGTTGACAACTAAGGACTTGTAAATTGGGACCTGCAGAAACACCATTTTGTTTACAACGCCAGCTACTAGTATAAACGCATAAGCCTACTATTCTTAAGGAGTGCATCTCCTTGTTTCAATCCGCGTTGCTCTTAGCCTTGCCTGAGCTGCGCGCGTTTTTCTACAGGGTCTGGGAGTCCCGCTTCTCACGCGAGAGCGCGTTGTGACGCGATTCTGCCGAGGCGTGATCACAGGGCTCCCTTCTCTGCTCGGCAGGAGAAAGCACTATGACCACGGACCCATTTACTCTCTTATTGTTGTGCGTATTTGCGCCCTACGCATCCCCCTTGCTACTCCGTTCGCCTTCACCGCACCCTTCGCCCCCCCCCCCCCCCCCCCCCCTTTTTCCCCGTGCAGCACGCGTCGGTTGTTTCAGCGCATTTCTCGCTGGTGGATTTGGTGTCTCTGTGCCTCTGTGTTTTCGTTTGTGACACGGTTCTGCTCCGCGTTATTTGTTGACTGATTGGGTTGTGCCCTCATTTGGCTGGGGAAGGGTGTTGTCTCTGGGAGCGTGAGTGGATATGGGTTTGCGAAATGTGTTTGGGTTGGCGGGATTCGCTTTTCCAATTTCTAAATCCAAACCTTCGCCACCCTCACAGCCAATCACGCACCAATCGCCACATCCCGAGCCCTGGTCTCCAAATCTGGATTTCGTGGCTTGTGATTTGGGACCTGTGATTTAAGGGTCCTCGCTCCGCCAGAGGCATGAACAAAAAAGGTCCGGCAGCTTTCTGGCCCGAGACCTTGTCTCCGAACCTATGATACATGCCCTTCATCGTACAACACCTACATATTATAGGGTCGCAACACAGCGCATGTTTGAGGGCGTGTCATTTCGTAGCCCTGTGACGTGGGAAACTATTAAGAACATTACTTAGGGCACTTTCAAAAACCCATATTGCCCTCACATGCGACTCGGGTTGGCATCAACCCTAAAACCGCAAAAGGGCCGCGTGTTTAGGGTTGATAGCATCCCGAACGGAATTTCGGTCCCCTATGGGATTTCCCCTCGAAAAAATACTTTGCGGAGAACTACTAAATAGCAAATGAAGTGTATTACAGGTTCGGAGGAAGACGGACTTTTTTGGCTCATACCCCTGGCGTAGCGAGGACCCTTTCTGATCATTTCCCCTCACATTTGGCTTGTCCGAATGTTTTCCAAGCTTGTCGAGGTCAAATGTCCTCAGGATTAACCAGATTCAAATGATCTCGGCGGCGAAAAAGATTGAAAATATTTCGGGAAATGCGCACGGCGGCTTTGGGCATCTCGATTGCAGGACTGGTTGCAAGCTGAGTCTTCATAATGCTTGCAAAAACATGGCTGCTGGGAACAGGCCACCGAACTGCACTCTGTGGACGTAAGGTACTGACATGCTCTGGAACGTTACCTGACACATATGCCTTCCCTAACCTGTACCTCCGATACCTCCAGACCTGACTGGCGCCACCAACTTCGAATCAGCCTCTTGGATATGAAAATCCCTGAAAATGGTCCAGGATGAATGGTCGACACATGATCCACAAAGGGTGTCTTCTCGTGGAAAAAAGAACGCCACAAGGTGCTGCCTTGATGCCACGACAAGAAAATTGCACCAAACCTAGGAGTGCGGCTTCCTCGAGCCCTTCCTTCCTCATCTGCTCTGTTTAATTGAAACCCTACCACCACACTTGTGATGGCATTCCAGGCGGGCAATCTAGGCGGGCATTCTAGGCGGACTTTCAATGATATTGAGGATAACTAGCTCAATCAACAACAAAAACCTCCACAAACCGAGAACTGTCATTATGCAAAAAATACATCTGCCAGAGTGTTTACAGTTACCTGAACATTCTGTTCGGTGATCCTATGAATTTATACACATGAACATAAAAGGATGGATATCATGTAAATGATATGAGAATAATGGAAGTATGCAGGTAAAAGACCAGATGTCGGTGGGGTATAGTACAGTGCAAATCGAGCCCTTCCCTGGGCGTTAGGAGGTTTTTTTGGTTTGTTGAGGCCAATGTGGGGGGGCGGGGGGGGGGGGGGTTGGGGGTGGGCGGGGGGGATTCTTGTTGCTGGTACAGGCTGGCAAGGGCAACAAACCCACCGCCTTGGTCAGGCGGGAAAAGCGGGAGGAATTGCCCTTGCTAGCTACACCGCTTTGGTCAGGCGTGCACTGTACTGCAGACCTCCCCAAACCGCCTTCGGCCTGGCTGGCATGGCTGGGGGGGTTCAGTCCGTGGCCCCCTCCCCATGACACAGTGGCTCGTAGGTGGCGCCGACATTTCAATTCAATAGAGCGCGTGAAGCGTTACAGACTTCTGTCCCCTTTTGGTCCAATCATAAAAAGCAAGCAACCATGTAAATCTAATCCAATCCAAGACTCTCAATATAACACCCTTTACTTACCCTTACTATGTTCTAAGACACCAGGCTAGAATTGGGACATCTAGTAACTCATTTATCGATATGAAGTTAAAGCCCGATCAGCAGGTTGCATTTCCCTTAATGTGTGCCACACCTTGAGGGGACATCTGTTCAGGAATCACCAGAACAGGGTTTTGGATTAGCATATAAATATTAATATATATATATATGTGTGTGTCTGTTAGTTAGGTTATATTTGTTATATCCAAGTTAGGTCAGTTCTTAGAGGGTACTATTAAATTATATCTTTGATATATAATTGGTAGGCTTGGTAAGTATTACTGAAACCTACTGTAAAGTATACAACCCCCTTCCTTGTATCCCTCTCTCTTCTATTCTCGACCTCTTTTCTCTCGTCAACTTACTCTCCTAGCTAAACCCTCACGCCATTCCATGGCCGTCTACCGTTCCTAGCATCCTAGTCTTTTGACAAGTACAACACTCACTTTTGTACTCGACATTTTCCCTTAGTTACTTTTGATGTCTTACTTTTATATGGAATAAAGCTAGGGTCAGATTCTACCAAGCAACACGCTCCCCCCGTTACTGTAGCTTGTTTTTCTTTCTTTCTTTCTTTCTTTTTTTTCCCATGCAACTCTCGCTCTCCCATTTTGCGCTCTGTAGCTCCCCTCCCTTCCTGCCCCCTAGCGTCCACTACGTTTCGTACGCCAGCCAGCCAGACAGCCAGCCAGCGCGCTCACCCACCGACGAACTAGCCAGCCCGCTAGTCGCCAGCCAGCTCGCCAGCCAGTTAGCCAGCCAGCCAACTAGCAAGCCAGCCAGCGCGCCAGCCAGCACGCTAGCCACCTAGCCAGCACGCCAGCCAGCCTGCCAGCCAGCACGCCGACCAGCTCGTAGGCTCGCCAGCCAGCTCGCCGCTGGCTGGCCCGCTAGCAACCGCCAGCAGTTGCCAGCCAGCAGCCGCTAGCCAGCTCGCCGCTGACTCGCCAGCCAGCAGCCGTCAGCAGCCGCCAGCCAGCAGCCGCTAGCAGTCGCCAGCCAGCTCGCCGCTGACTTGCCAGCCAGCAGCCGCCAGCAGCCGCCAGCCAGC